CCCTACAACGTCCTGAAACCAGCAACAATATTTTTTTTGAGGTTCAAGGCTTGAGTAAGAGAACATTAAATTGGTGGGCAATAAAATTATTTTACTCATATTCCGTATTTATAGATTTTAATGCAAGCTTTTTCTTTCATGTCATGTGTGGAATCTTAAGTTTTTAAGTTTGTTTTAGACTAAAGCCACATTGGGCTATTTGCTGATTCCACTGCGGGGAATTGAACTCCGGACTTTAGTATTGTATGTCCGTAGACTTACTAGTATTCCACCAGTAGACGTGTGGAGTTAGATTAAACAACCATGTGAAAATATACGAAGCTTGTTTGTATAAGCTGTAGATACCTAACACAAATGCCGGTACAATTATTTTTCAGCGATATTTTGGAAAGATAATTGAATTTGTTTATAAATAGTGAAGCCATATTTCGCACTTCGTTCTTCTTTTCTGAAAATGTAGCAAATTCAGTGTTACATGTGAACGTACGAACTTCGCTATATAGATATCTTGTAGCTTACAGCAACCGTGCTGTAAGATCACTATATGAAAGAATGTTTGTTCTTCAACTGCCAATCGCTATGTTTAAACCATTCGTTCAAACTCTGCTGATTCAATTTCAATCTTCTTTTCAATCTCTACTGATTCGAGTTTCAAATTTATTTTTAATCTCTGTTGATTGAAGTCTAAATTTTATTTTCCGTCTCTGCAGATTCAAATTTTAATTTTGATATTCAATCTCTGCTGATTCAAGTTGAAATCATTTTTTCAATCTCTACTGATTCAAATTGAAATCATCGTTTTTTCAAACTCTGCTGATTCAAATTGAAATCATTTTTTCAATCTCTGCTGATTCAGAGTTGAACAAAATTTCTGAAGCTTCAAAATTGATCAAAACATAGTTGAAGCATAACAAAAAAAATAATTATGTATTTATTACTTTGGTTTGTTTTGTTGTCTTCCTCGACACCAGATTTAATTTTTTTAACTACTCTTGAACGTAATGCTTTTGCTTATTGGATACACATACCGCTTTCGAACTTATATGGTATATCATACTGCATAATGTTTTGTTGAGAAGGTAAAGTATAACATAAGCTCCTTTAAATAGATAATTGTGTTTGGTCCTTCTGAAAACTATTGTAACCACACTTATACAGAGGTTGAGTACATTATATTAAAATTATTTTGGAGCCTCACGACGTTCGGGCGTACTGTTTCTGACAACGGTCATCTTGACAATAGCTATGCATTGCTGTTTCTATTACAAAAGGTGCTTTCGTAAGGCCGCCGTGTCCAAAACACGCCACTCTTCTCTGTTGCTTTCCACAATCCATCTAGAATACGAGAACACTGATTTCCTAGCGCCAATTTCAACAGTCCGATCTTACAAAAAATTATAGGAGTTGCATCCAGCGACTTGAACAGTATTTCTACCTTCTGCAGTTGCGACGATTGAACGGGAGATATGACTGAAAGCCTTATCTTGTTGAACCCATACCATATCGGTCTTATTTTCGGACAGAGATCCTTTGTTTATTACGTTGTATGTTGTTGCCATTGGTTTTTGTGATTTTGGATTCCCACCTGACGCCGCACTTTGCTTAATTAGCACAGCTGGGGGTTAAGACTTGTTGCAAGATTCTTTTCATATGGTACTTGTACTCCCAAGTTGATCCATATCCTTTTTTTAATGCCATTAAGTACAAGGGAGATTCCCCTCGCGAAAATTAAAAATCCCTGATCTGAACACATTTTTAAGATTTGAATTTATGAATAGTTTGTGTTAAATATAACGTACTCAAACATCTGTATATCATATAGCTTTTATATAAAATATAAATATACTTATATTCTATAGATTCTGAGTAAAACAATATAGATATAGTTATGAATATAGAATAGAAACGGGTGTCTGGAAATAGCTGACATGAAACTTATTTGCTCCTTAAGATGGCATAACCCACGCTGAGAATATATATTAAATTATTTATATTGTATTCAACGTGTACGTTTTTTATTGGTGTAGTTATATATTAACGCTTTGTTTTGTTTTTAATTATGCACAAAGCTACACAAGGGCTATCTGTGCTCTGCCCACCACGGGTATCGAAACCCGGTTTCTAGCGTTGTAGGTCCGCAGACATACCGCTGTGCCACTGGGGGGCATATATTAACGCATCCTTACATAAAAATAACGCTGGGATCATTCAGTTGTTATCTGATGTGGCAGCAGTCGGTTTTACATTTTGATTTGGTAATACTTACCTGTGTTCTGATGAGGTAACAATCAGTTTTGCTCTGCTCAGATAACGTTCTGATGTGACCTGCTAAAACCAATTCTAAGCTTATGTGATTACAGTCATTTTGTTCTCTGCTCAGACAACATTGTAGTTTGATCTACTAACAACCAATTCTAAGCTTATGTGATGACAGTCATTTTGTTCTCTGCTCAGATAACATTGTAGTTTGATCTGATTACAACCAATTCTAAGCTTATGGTGATGATCAATTTTATTCTCTGCTCAGGTAACATTGTAGTTTGATCTGATAACAACCAACTCAAAGCTAATGGTGACGATCGATTTTATTCTCTGCTCAGATAACGTTTTGGTTTGATATGCTAACAACCAACTCTAAGCTTATAGTGACGATTAGTTTTGTGTTGATGTAGTAACAATTAGCACTGTGCTGATGGGACTACCTCATAACTTACTGAACACTACAGTTTTTTTGGACCAATATAGTGATATCGTTCATTTGATATGTATTTGATCTTTAACTGTGTGAAATAATACAGACAATTTTACAAGGTAGACTTGATGTCCTTTTAATTTATTGTATTAACGAAATATTTTTATTCTAAAAATCAGTCTTTTGTGGAAGAAAAGAAAAGCAACACTGACAGTTACTTGTAAACACCATTTAATTGTGATTGGTCGTTTAAAAATACATCTATAATAGCATGCTAAAGTTTAGTAACGTCTACAAAGAAGGGAAATTTTGACGCTTTGTCTTCTGATAAGAGTTTAAAAGTTTAATGAAATATAATAGTTTATATTAACGAATGTATATTATTTTCATATACAGGCCGAGCGGAAATATTTAAGTATATCAATGGATATACTGTGCAGTCGTATCGACTACTATAATTCGCAAGAAAAACGTTACATGGATGTGTGCGTGTGTAAGTATGTAAGTAAGCCAAAAATTCACATTTATTGATACGCAGATAGTGTAAGTAGTTATGATTTACTTTCGTGACAAACCTCTTTTCAACCTACATGTTTATTTTAATGCAAATCACAGAAAGGACACCTATATATTTTTCATATAATATATATATATATACTTATAAAATGAAAATATTTCAGATTCCATTATCATGGTAAGTTATATCTCAGAGTTTCATCACAATTAGTTTACAAGGTACTATTTTTACCCCATAAAGTCTTTTTTCCCCTCTTACAGAGTGATATTTTGGATTTGATCCGTTACCTTTCTTCGTAGTGAACGTGATTGGAACATTATATTCCGGAAATATTGTGATTGATAAACACATTTTTCTATTTTCATAAACGCATATCTTAGCAATAATGAATATGGCGGGAACAAAAAACAAAAATTAACAACAATAATACCAACAACAACAATAGTTACCTTTAGTGTATTCTAACCGAAGTAACGTAGTTAGTGTATCAGTAAGAGAGGTCAGTTGTCTTTGGCTTAAACCTTGATAATGTTAGCTAAGCTTTGCAGAACCTGTCTGTAACAGTAAATTTAGAACCAGTTCTAAATATTTGATGTTGTGGTTTTTCGAACACTTAAGGCTAAAGTATAAAATAGTCTTAGCTAATATCAATCAAGCCTTATCCCCAAATCTTTGGCTTACGGGTTAAAGCAATGAGACAGGTAGATTTCGTTCACAGTCCTGACTTTACGTATCTCAGTCCTCCGCGAAGCACATCGGTTTATAGCCGCAGGACAGTAACTATAGTAAAGGACAAAGCTTTCCCCCTTTTCCCCTTTTTCGACTAATCAGGTCCACCAATAGAGAGTGCGATACATATGTGACCTATTGTAAAAAGCCTGCCTTAACGTGACGTGTTGGTACAGCGTATCCAATGAAAACAGGTGTGGCAGTGTTACGCAGAGTGTCAGGGGATCGCTTACAGGTGAGACTTCGCGCAGCCAGCATTCCCCGAAGTATAGTTGAACGAACCATCCGACCTATGTCTAGTGGCACCGCCGTCCTGGTCTCGGCTCCTTTCCTCTCCAAGCGTTCCAATTCCATGGCCTCCGAGATGGCGGATTTCCACGATGTAAGGTGTTTGTATAAATAGCCTTAACTAATATTATCTTATATCCATCATTTTTAATCTATGAGTTTATTAACTTAACTCACGTCCGTTTTCTTGGTGTTATGAACAATCATATACTAACCTGACATGAGATTAATTAGAACAGCAGTAAGTCAGAATTTGCGTATTTATCATATTTACTTAATCACTTTTAAACCAACTTAGCTAGACATCTAGAATGCTGTGTACTGTTTATATGTTTTAAGTTAAGTATATAAATCAGAGGTCATGTTGTTAAAAACTTCACGTCTGATTTTCGTGGAGTTTGGGAAACTCCTATATCGGGCTCTCAGCTGAAACTGTCTTCCTAAATTTCTTTGAATTTTCACATAATTTAACAAACACACTAAAGAGGTAATGTTAATCACACATTACACTAATGTTGTAAGGAATAATGCTCATAACCTGTTATAAGAATGACAGATGATACTGATTCCCTAGCTTAAGTACACGTTTCTTAATTTTGCTGCTTTCAGGTAGCTTCATCTTTTTGAAAGAGTGAAATTATTTGTAAGTTGACAATATCAATGACGTGATTACATATTTGTACACGTTTTTCATTTGCTAATGTTATATTAAGAGGTGGTTGTAGGTCACATATAATTACGTCTTCAGTAATTGGTTGTTGTCGTTTTTCTTAGATGTGGCAAGACATCGAAAGCGTTCTTTTGGGTGATATGGGAAACGCGACTCCTGATGCCCGCTATTCAAATCACCAAGCATCTGTTCCCGTTGCACCGAACCACCAGGAAGATAACCGTCAGCACGAGATTATGGTAACACCCCCGTATTCCGTTACGCTACCTAACCATCAGTTGGATGGTGAATTTTGTATCCCAAGTAGTATGGACAGTAACAACAATGCCAGTTACAATGATTCCTACAGTTTCCAGGCCCCAGCAAAATCAAAGTCAAACTATGCCCAGTGTATGATGAGGGCACACGAAGGACCAGAGAGAGTACACTTCTATTACAATGAATACACAGGGCATTACACTCCGGTAACATACGTAGACTCTAAGCATCACTATCCAGCACCGATGACTAGGCCTCACGATCGTAGTATGTCTATACCATATGCCCGTCCATGGGGATATTGTCCAGCAGGTTCAGTCCCGAGTGTACCCTCTCAAATGTCTCCTCCTGCATCCCCTGAAAACTCAGGAGGACCGCAATACACTCATGCAAATGGTGTCATGGAGGCAGTGCCCCACCAAGTGGTTTCTGGAAGAATTCCTATGGCTCATAGCTGGCCTCCTCACACCACTCCTAATACCTTCAACCCTGGCCCTCCACACCTGCGAATGGTAACGCCGCCGTCATCACCTCACCTAGGCGATCTTCTCGTTAATGGCACCGCGACGTATAGCTCTTCGATTCCCGGGATCCCCCCGCCACCACCGATCAAGCCACGGCGAGGACGAAGAAGCACTGGCCGCAAGAAAGTGACGGTTCATACATGTTCTCATCCGGGCTGTAATAAAATGTACACGAAGAGTTCGCATCTGAAGGCTCACCTCCGGACTCATACCGGTGAGAAACCCTACCAGTGCACGTGGAAGGGATGTGGCTGGAAATTCGCCCGCTCTGACGAACTGACCAGACACTACCGAAAACATACTGGTGACAGACCTTTCCAGTGTCGTCTATGTGAGCGTGCATTTTCCAGGTCGGACCATCTGTCGCTCCATATGAAGAGACACACAGCGGTTTAATTTAATTAGAAATTCGACACTATCTCCATTCTGAACAAAATCCCTAAGACACGTTTCTATAAATGAAAAACTTGCATAAGAACATGTATATAAAAATCAAAGTGTAAAATTGACTTGTGTCTAGTCGTTGTCATGTTTTAGACGGCACGCAAAACCTAAACGCCCTGCTTTCAGGAAGGATTTAAACATTGTTTTAATTAAACAACAGTGAGACTAAATTTCATACCTTCAACTTTGATTTATTTTAAGCCAGAAGATTTCATATTTTGTAAGGCAACAGTATCCAAGCCAAGGAAGAGAAAACCACTACTGACTGATTGACTATCGTTCGAATAACTTGACATTGTAATCTCGTCATTCTTTGGTAAGAATGTGTTTACTTATTATCATACAGCAACATAACTTTATATTATCCAGTATAGTACTCTTTGCACTAACTGCATTAAGCTAAACGAGCTCTAGTTCAAAATAACAGGTTCGCCCTGTCATTTATTTCCCAGTATATCGTTGTAATGTTCAATACACAAGAAGTATTTTACTAATACACACTGAGTAAAAATACATCTTTAATGCTCGTACGAACACGAGATCGTAAGCTTTGCATTGAAGGCAGACTCTTTAATTAAATAATGCACCTGTTTTATATTTGGAAAACAAATTCTGAAATACACTGTTTCCTAGGAAACAGCTGTTCTGTTCATCCGTTGCTATTAATTGGGATGCTAATTTATAAATTCGAAAGGAAAGAGGCAGTCACTGCATTAAATTACAACTAACTACCCCATACATTTCCATTACGTGATTGAAAATAATGTATATACTATACTCAACTATGTAATATACTCAATAATGTATGTAATATACTCAATAATGTATGTAATATACTCAATAATATATTATGTATAATTTCAAACATATAGGCCAAAAATCAAAGCATCGCCCATATTGGGTATATGTACAGTGTAGGAATGCTACATGTATCTCAATGGGAGAGACTGCCGATGTATAAAAAAAAAATTAAACTCCCGTAACGTTGCATTATTGTTATTAAATCTACATATAGTCTCGTTTTTAGACGAAAGAACGGTTAAATATTAATATTAAATGATTTGTTTTTGTTTTTAATTATGCCCAAAATTACACAAGGGCTATCTGTGCTCTGCCCACCACGGGTATCGAAACCCGGTTTCTAGCGTTGTAAGTCCGCAGACATACCGCTGTGCCACTGGGGAGCATATTAAATGATTATGGTTCCAAAGAATTAAACTTTTGAAAACACCGGTGAACATTTCCTTATCCCTGCTTCAAATATACAGACAGACATACCTGGAAATATGATAATTATTTGCTTGAAAGTGGTATTTTGTTTTTTATATCTCTGCTTTGTGCACACCGACAAACCACCACCACGACCCTTCTTCCCCCTCCACCTCCCACCACGAACTTAATAAACCATAGTGCCGGGAGATCCCATACAATTACTGTTTGTATTTGTAAAGACTAAAAGAAAGGGAAATTTCGTCCGTGAAAGGTAGTGTTAACACTGTCTTGTTAACAGACGGATGTGAGTCAGGATCCTCAGTAGTTAAATTAATTAAGACTATGTGTATACACTGGAATATATTTGTTTGTAGTCTCAAGATTCTGTACAAATTCATTCCAGCAGTTCAGCCTTGAAATTTTAGTCATATTCACCAGTTAAGAATAGTCTTCAAACTAAACGCAAATATCAGAAGTGAATAAAAATACATTGTCGAAACCGGACAGGTGTTTTCAGGTGTGTTCTAAATTCTTTTGTTATCCTACACTTACTTTCCAAATGTCGTGAAAATTATCTTTTTATGATATTTGTAACTCGAGAAATTCACAACCTAAAATAATTGTAGCACAAGTAAGTTGGGATAGAGTTTTATTTGCACAAAGTGTAAAATATACATCATTTATGAAAAAGGGTGTTTTAAAATCAAAAATATATATCATTTGAAAAGAAAGTGTAAATGTTTTAAATCTAAAATATACATCATTCGAAAAGAAAGTGTAAACGTTTTAAATCTAAAATATACATCATTCGAAAAGAAAATGTAAATGATTTAAATCTAAAATATACATCATTCGAAAAGAAAGTTTAAATGTTTTAAAATCTAAAATATATATCATTTGAAAAGAAAGTTTAAATGTTTTAAAATCTAAAATATACATCATTCGAAAAGAAAGTTTAAATGTTTCAAAATCTAAAATATACGTCATTCAAAAAGAAAGTTTAAATGTTTTAAAATCTAAAATATATATCATTTGAAAAGAAAGTTTAAATGTTTTAAAATCTAAAATATACGTCATTCAAAAAGAAAGTTTAAATGTTTTAAAATCTAAAATATACATCATTTGAAAAGAAAGTATAGATGTTTTAAATCTAAAATGCACATCATTCGAGAAGAAAGTATAAACGTTTTTAAACCTAAATTTTTACATCATTCAGAAAAAGTGTAAATGTTTTAAAATCTAAAATATACATCATTCAGAAAGAAACTGTAATCGGTCTGGATTTTTAAGGAAAGGTCCTAGATCATGAAAGATGGTGCTAAGTTGCTTGTTTTTATCAATAAATAATTAATAATCAAATCTTTAGATTTTTTCTTAGAAAATGAGACATGGTATTAAATTTCATATTTTCAGCGATAAAAAGTGAATAGTAAAATCTGTACGTGATGTTAAAGTGTTTGTTTTTCTCGGCTATTAACGCACTATAATTAACCTTTTACTTTACAAACGTAATATCTTTCACCTTATCGGTCAGTCAGTACATCTGTTAAGTCAGTTAAAAGTGTAAGTTTTTTTTTTTACTGTTGTAATGTTTTGTATAGTATGTTCTGGAAAGTGTCTTTAAAAAATGAAAATTCTCAAATCCCCAGAGGCTGTGTATGAGTTGGATCACCCTCCAAGTCGTAGCTCAAACGATAATAGAATATTCCATAGTTTGGAATTAAACATTTGTATACACAATTCAATCTGTCTGAGTTCGTTGAACACAAGTCTGTACAATTAAGTTCCACTATTGTAATATTCGGGTATTATTTATAATAGCATGTCTAAAACGTAAGTAGAACAAAGAAGGGACAGCTTTGATTTAATATAAGTACCCCTTCTCTGCAGGTCGAATACTTTAACCCCCCTTCCAGTGGCACAACGGCAAGTCTGCGAACTTATAACGCAAGAAACCGGAATTCGATACCCTTAGTGGGCACAGCACAGGTAGCCCATTGAACAGCCTTAATACGAGTTATGTGTACTCATATATAATATCAACAATAAAAGTACATAACCGTAGAAAACTCAAAGTTGCAAAAACGTAAAAAGGGCTTGAACTACTACAGTTAGTAAATGTACTTTACTGGATTACGAAATTTTCCTAAGGTAGTGAAAAAATTATCTACTACAGCAGGATAACGTACCGCCCATAAAGTACCTACAGTCATTGCTAGCGTAGCTTAATTATGAAATGTATGTAAATGAAAGGCGAAAATAATATCAAGCCTAAAGTAAATGACAAAATAACTAAATAAACTATCACGTGGTATAAAAGTACGTGTAAGCCTGTGTTCTATTAGTTTAAAACAGAAAAGAGGAGAGAAGGCAATTCCGAAATATCTTAGAAGTTGATTTTTAAATGACATATGGGAGAAATATTTCAGAAGTTGTTTTTTAAATGTCACATGGGAGAAATATCTTAGAAGTTGATTTTTAAATGTCATATGGGAGAAATATCTTAGAAGTTGATTTTTAAATGTCATATGGGAGAAATATCTTAGAAGTTGATTTTTAAATGTCATATGGGAGAAATATCTTAGAAGTTGATTTTTAAATGTCATATAGGAGAAATATCTTGGAAGTTGGTTTTTAAATGTCATATAGGAGAAATATCTTAGAAGTTGGTTTTT